CTGCTGGCATGTACCAATCCTTTACCTGGCTGGACTGCTTTCATTACAGCCCGTGAAGACTTCAGCACTGCTTCATAGATAGCCCTTTGGTCAGGAGTGAACTTTCCATTGGCAGGGAAGGTGCAGGTGATGTCGGAGCCATAGCAGTAATACTCTCCTCCCATATCAAACAGGCTAAAAAGGAAATAGGGGGAGAAGAAATGAAAATTTAATTCCAAATAAATAGTAGAAGAGAAGACATTTTTCTTGCTCTGAACTTAAAGTCACCTGCATTTTGGTAGCTGGCCCATTTGAATGCTGTTCCTGAAATGCACTGAGATGATAGTCCCTTGGAATCTCCTAGCAGAAGGGTATATGCACAACACATAGCTTAAATGGACACCCTAAGGGACAGTGTTGGTCCTGGCTGGAAGCACTGAGAGAATGCATGAAGGAAGATAAAAAGTACATGAGGAACCCACTTCAAGCTCTTCAGTTCCAGTTTGTAGGATGTCTTCTAAAAAGAAAATACATGTTCTTTTTTTTCTTTCCTGAGAAATGATGGCACCACATAAAGGGTCTAAATTTAACACTTAAAAGAGGAATATTAATTAAATTACAGCCTTTTGTAGCTAAGTGTCAAAATTCATCTGATAGTTTAAATAAAATGTCCCAAAGAAAGGTTGACTGCCACTGCTCATAATATAAACTTTCCTTGAAGACAAATTTGTCTAACAGGGATTAAAGAAACAGAGATTATGGGAAGATCCAACCAAAAAGAACATTTAGCACAGTTTTCTGCATCAGAGGTAGAAGAAGAAAAAAAAAAAAAAGTGCTTGCTTTTATGGGGAGAAAAAAAATATTGGTTTACTCCTTGAGAAGAATATTTATTCTACACATGAATCTGTGATTCATCACTGATTGCTCAGTTGCCAGAAATCAATCGACAAGAAGAACAAGTGGATCACTACACCCTTGTGAGAACCAGGTTAGACATTTGCAATACTATGCTTCTTGAGCCTACCTGATAAGGCACTACACTGGTTTCAGCAGGCTCAGAAATCAGCAAATGACCAAATAACCATTTGGACCAAACAATACTTGAGTAAATACCTCCTCTAGTTCATCATATACTGATTACGAGAAGGCATGTTTTACATATAAGACTTTGGTCTTGACACACATTTGTGTAACCTCCTGATTTCTTAGGTAATGAATGAGAGTTGAAATCTGCTAATTTAAGTCTTCTTCCAGCCACCTCACAGAACTGTATGACACACTTATTGTAAGAAATGCAATTTTCCTTCACTGTGTTTGAAAACCTTGGCATTTCCTTCTTCTTGCTTCTGGCTTCACAGCAGGGTCAGTTGGACAACCCAAGCACAGAATGAAGGATACTCCATTGGAGCACCCCTCTGCAATTGAGTCCTGCTTACAGCAGTAATTAGGAAAACTGTGCAGCATAACTTGGTCTCCAACCAGCATATAAGGCTAGGTAAAGATAAGTAAAATAATTTTTCAGCAGGGTTGGGACTTCCCTTGCTGCACTGCATACACAAACACATCCTCATGAAGATTTACTCCAAGAAATTTTAAAATCCACCCTACAATTTCCTCTGTGAACAAATCTTTGCACTGACTAGTGAGCCCTGCTGAAGTCATTGCCAGCCTCCCCAAACTGGGCAAGGTTCATCTGCAGAGAGACTTGCAGGACTGGAACTTCAGGAACAAACCCGATGGTTTACAGATGCAGAACTGCACAAGGCTTAAAGGAACAGGAGCAAACTCCTTAGGAGAGTGCAACAGAGAGAGCTGCAAAATTATGTACATACACAGAGTGCTAACCCAAACACTATATACTTTCACTTAAATATGAAATACAGTATGCTAAAACAGGAAGTTTCCAATTGAAAAAAGACACACAATAGACAGCAAATGTCACTATTTAACACCGACATAGCAACTGTAAACCAGCTTAGCCAAAACTTCAAAACCAGAAACCCCAGCGCTGCCTAGGTTTTGATTCTTTGGTTAGGCTTACTTCTAAAAATAACTAATGACACACAGAGAAACTCTAAGGATATAGAAAACTATTTGCAGAAACTAAGAATCATGTAAGAAGCTGCTAAGTTCTCTAATGTGCCAGTGAGATACAGATTTCAGATCAGTTGTAAGTCTGTCAACCTACCCCAGACTGAAACCTGTCAAAATCACAACTCGAGTTTCATGGTGCTTTGTTGGATTTGCAGCAGCTTTGTAGCCTAACTGTTGCATTTACACGTGTAAGTGTCCATTCAGCATGGTAACAGTAAAGCTGTGACAAGCAACTTCCATTCTCCCTGTCTATATCTACTGGAAGTTGCTCTGCTTTCTATATTTTATGGAGAATAGGTATTCTGAACTTACTGCAGGCAAAATGTTAGCTGTCTTTAACCTTACAATTATCAGCATTTTCTCAATCCCATTCATCACTTGGTGGTTCTTAAATAGTTCCTTGAGTTACTGCAGCACTGAGAGATGGAAAAAAAATATCATAAAGCTGATGGTACACCAAAACAAGGCTCACAAGCTAGGCACCATTTGTTCAGGTTTCTTGGCTTCATGACAAGGGGAGACATGAGGGAAGATGATCTTTCAAATTCCACCTCAGAGCACAACACACCATCCAGCCTCTATGCTTCAGTGAAAAAGCATCCAAACCAAACTGTACATCTGGGAGGTGTTTTGGCTCTTCTTGGGAATTCTCTTCCATTTATCTTCATCTGGGAACATATCCATTAGTTAAAGTGTTGCCCAAGACATGGAAATAGCCCAAATATTGTAGTTATTCTGAGGAAATAATGGGAGCCTGAGAAGATTCCAGTTTCATAACTTTTTTTTTGCCAGGCAAAATAAGTGGTGAAGCACATTTAAGCTGAATAAAATGCATGTGAGCTACTATCTTCTCCTGTTGACTAACTGGAAAAGGCTCTTAAAGCAGGCTCCTTAAATCCTAGTTCCCTAGAAAAGATACATTTATTTAACCCTGAAATTAAACAGTAACTGCTACTAAACTGATAGCAACAGAGATATTATTAATGTATTTTAGTACATCCCCAATTGCATGTACAAAATTACCTGCCACATAATGCAGACTTACATGGGTCAGGATTCTATGTACAGAAAAAAACTACTTAATGTTATTTGGACCTTTATCAAATCTAGCAGCAATCTAAACAAATTAAATGCACAAATGAAAATAGGCCTTATAGGCTTTTTGAATTATGGCTTACCTTTTTAAGAACTGTTTAATGTAGAGTAACATATGCAATAATATAACAACGTGTCTCCAAACTCTATTAACATTTTAGATAAAGTATGTCAAAGTTCTCACTGATTTAGCTTGAAGCTGGTGAAGTCTTTTATTGCACAGGATCTCTTTCAAAACCTTTCAAGAGGGAAGGAAGCTAATCTTGCTTTGTATCACTTTGCTGGGAAGAAAAGCAACAAAAGCCTACCTGGCTTCATGTCATGGTGAAAAGCACATGATGCATAAAGCAGATTTAAGTCAGAATAGCTGAGCACTCTCTAAAAAATTCCATGTTATTGTTTCAATTTATTTTCTAGAATTAATAAGAAGCTATATCACAAGTAAAAGATGTGCAGCAAAAATATTCCAAACTCCTTCTTGGAAGCATGGGCATAGCTCTCCTAAGGGAGGCTTCAGTTCTGCGTATAGAAATAATCTTTCCTCCCAAACATATTGCATAATACTGTAAACATTATTAAATAAACTGAACAATGCAAAAGATGAGAAAAAACACATAACCTGTCAGCTGCTCTACTGACAGAATGACTTCCTTATGTATCATTAATACATTATCAGCCAACAGCATCAAAAAAAAAAAGTTGATTTCTCCATCTTAGAAGTCACCTTTAAAAATGACCAAGAGCACTTCATTCCTTTCACAGGGAAAAGGTCTAACACCACAACTTAAAATAATTTTATATATAAAATGATATCTAGCCAAAAAGAATAGGAAACACATGTCATATGCCACAGCCTTGCACAAAGGATCAGCCAGATGTGCCCCTCCCTGCTCAGATGAGCTGCTTAGCCCTTTGCCAGCAGGTCCCTGGTGCTGCTGGCAGCAGCCCTTCCATGTCTAACCAAACCAGGGTTCTGCTCCCCATGCAGGCACTCAGGACAGGAGTTTGGAGAAAATATTTCAAGTCCTGTTGATTTTAAAGTGAATACAGGCCTGTAAGTCAGTACTGCAACTCAAATGCTACTCAACACAATGTGCAAAAGCTCTTTTCCCCTCCTGTCGCTCTGAAACAATACAGATGCGTAAGAGATGGCCATGTCACTTCCACAGAACACTGGCACCACAAAATTCAAATTTATAGTTACATTTTTGGCTTTCAATCCCAGAAAAGCATTTTTGATATCACTTGTAGCTTTCTTAACTTCTGACTGTGAAGCATCACAAACACTTCTCGTAACACTTTAGATCTGAAACTATATGTGGACTATAAACAGCCATGGTTCTTTTCTTCATAAAGTCACTGTATACTATTTTTAAAAAAATAAAGCATCATCTTCCTCTAAGCATGTGTTTTGCTTTTATAGGCTTGCTGACACTTTTATTGTCAAATAATTTGAAACTGCCAGGCAATGAAGCCCATTATGGCCAATATCACAATGGGAAGCAATGCTTTACTTGGGATATCTGAGCCATGTGTATGAATCGTAATGATCCAACCACCAGCCCAACCCAAAGACAAGCTCTTGCAGGCATTTCTCGGGAAGCCTACAGCTACTCCCATGAGCTAACACGTAAAGCTGTCACCTTCCTGCTCAACAGATCTGCTCCGTCTGTACACTCAGAACTCCATCTCCTCACAATAGTAATCCTTCCGCAGTTGCTAACACTGCAGAGCAATGAGTGTGGGGAAACTTGGGCAGATTTCCTCCTAGTGCAACACACTCCAGCACGGGGCTATGCTGAGTGTCACCTGCCTGCCACCCACGTCCTCCCCAGCTTCTGTTCTCAGGACAGAACCTTCTCTTCCCCCTAAGTGGGTCTGCAAGACCCGCAATTAGAAAACTGATATCACCATATCTTACAGTGCCCTCCTCATACCTCAGGTTAAAGGCAAACAGGTATGAATACTGATGCCCTTGACTCAGTGACTTTTATTGAGGTTTTAG